ATACAAGGTTGAGTTGCAGTTGATAATGGCATAAACCGTAAAGTTCTTGTTGTTATGTCATTTAAACTTCTTATGGCTGCGTCATTGAAAGCATTCTTGTTGCCTTGAAATATCTATGAAAAAGTGTTTCAAAAACTAATTAATAATTCATGTGGTGGCTTTATTGGATGAGACATATCATTTGTCACGTTCATTAGTATTCTTTATGTAATGTTTCATCCTAGTTAGCATTTTATACATAAAGCAAATTTACTGGTCGGCAACATGATCAAAGGAATATGATAAAACGCTTCTTCTCGTGTTTTGAATACAACAAATTAAAAAATGTATTTTTGCGAAAAGTTAACATTAATTTTAAATGATTTAATTATATTGTTCTTGAAATATCTAAAGCTAATGCATAATAACGTGAACCCGTCTAAAAATGTTTTGCTATAAAAGATTTAGTTCTTGAAACAAGAAATATTTCAGTGGAGTTTGCCGTTTTTATCCTGTGCTTTTATAAGCTCCAATCAACTACGCGATATTTATTTTCTTGTTAAAAACATCAAACTAGAACAAAAACATTACCGTCCCGTTTTGTACTCGTCTCCAGTTTATCAGGTCAACAGTATAATGAAGGTTAAATGATGTCAACCATTTAGAGCCAGTGGTATCGCCAAATGTCGCTATAGCATATAACACATAAAGTCTTCCCAGGTCCACTTGAAGATAATGTTTATCATCTGAGACAGAAGCACACCAAGAACTACCACTAGATATTCTTGCATCAGAAGCTCTGTGATCTTCTGAAGAAACTGAGGCAGTGAATGACGAATCTGGAAATCTTTCTTTGTCTTCTAACAAAGGATTGTCGCAAATATGACCTGAAATAAAGAATGTTATTCTAAATTTGTTCACGTAACCTGCACCAGCATATCCAGAATTTACTTACATTTTATGTAAGAGAGCTGTGAACAAATTTGTTGAGAAGTTGTAAGTGAACATTGAGACAAGTGATGCTCTTTGCCATCACAGTCAATGCTTCCAGAAAATACTTCTTTCGTGCTAGACATAACAGCCTTATTAAGGACAGAGGATGCTCGTGTATAACCCTGTTGACGACAAATAACATCCTTGGCGTTGTTCTTTAAACTCTGCCAACAAACGGTCTTGGTTTCATTATAATTCTCATTTATTTGTATGAAACCCTCTTTTGGTAGAGATGAGTCAGACAGATGCACGTTATCCACTGCAAAATAAAATGCTGTAAATGTTTTAACATGTAGTGTTCAACCAAGAATTCCTTTTCGTTTTTTCAAAGACACCAGTAATTATAGATCGCGCATTTTTGGATGCTTTTGCACTTCACACAAGAGACGAATTGTGATAAATTATGCTATATGAAAACCAGGCTTTAAGCGCTATTATAAAGCCTAAGGTAGTCATTATTGCTCCAATGCAACTTCAAATTGTCAATCAAACATACCACATAATGAGTATTTTTTTGATGTACCAATACATTGATATTCAAAGTAAAGATATTTGTTCAATCCAGGACACAGATCATCAGAGAACAAGGTTTTATCCACAGTTATTTTACACTCATGTTGACCATCACATTGTTTCTTAACCAGACATGTTACATCAACTGTACAACTATAATCATCACTCAAACCACATGTCTTTGAGTTAGACAATCCACGGTAAGATGCAGTCTTCACCACCATGAACTGATCTTTAGAACAAGTGACATTCTCTGTCGTTTTTCCATAACATGTCACTGAACCTTGAAAATATTAATTCGAAATGTAAAGATTTGTTGGATTGTAAATATAAATTTACCTGAGAGTAGCTATAGTGACAGCAACCATTAACTTTGAGATATTCCAGGTGAAATAAGTTATTAGCAAAACTATGAATGGTTTATATATCGTTACAAGTAGTGAAAACGTGTTTAAAAAATGCAGCTTTTACAAAAATATATTGTGTCTGCAAGTTTCGCTAGCTTTATACAAATCACAAGCACATAAATACTAAATTCGTTGACCTGGGCGTATATGGTTTCATGTATATTGAATATAATATTTATTGGAAGTTTGAGCAAAGAGAAGAAAATTTCTTCTTTAGGACAAGAGACCTATGTTTTGTTTTAACAATGGTAATGCCATGATCTGAAGTCGTATATGAGCTAATGGCCAACGAAGCAAAGCTGGTTGACTATAAGCTATATATGTGGAGAACGAATAATATACCCAGAACTTTATTATAAGAATGTGCAAACTTTTATTACAAGTTATCACAAATTCTTACTGTATTAATTACTGGCTGTTTCCACTACTCACCATATATAAAGTGGATATCTCAGCCAATCAGATTGCAGAATAGCTCATATACCGTGAGTATTATAATTAACAATTAGATTACCAGCTCGAGATTTCTATGAGGTGATAGTTGATGAGGGCGAAGCCCGAATCAACTATCACCTCATAGAAATTGAGAGCAAGTAATCTAATTGTTTTAGTAGAATCAGTTCATCCTCAATCAAGTTCATACTCAGAAACCTCAGAAAACCGCGAGCCGGAGGCCATTTTTCTAAAAAATACGCCAGAATTGCGACTGTTTCGCTACTCGCTATCTATCAACAATTAGATAGCGAGTAGAGTAGCCAATCAAATTTCAGCATTTGCAATAGTATGCTAGTATGATTCTACTAATTGTTAATATTGTACATACATGTTCTTCCACGTGAGTGTGGTATATGTTAGTATTTACTAGATCGTGTTCACAAAGAAACTTACCAAAGTTGAAACGTTTATCCTCAGCGTCATTACAATCTGTTGTCAATCCAATGTAGGGATCAATTCCTTTTTGAGCGAGCGGGGCGTGTGTTTTAGGGACTGTACACCAGTTCTGAAATGAGGTCTTTCCATGACCTTTATAATATACAGATAAACCTCCCCAAGATGTCTGGGTTATACGACGATAGACTTTTCTCCCAGAATGTTGCGCACAGGCAGAAAAATCTAATTTTGTTGGGTCGGCTGGGACGTAAAGATAAAACATGTCAAGATAATAACCAGGATCACGTTTAGCATAAGCCGCAAGACATCCTTGTCTTTGCAAATTCAACATGGCGCCATTATCACGAAACCGAAACTGAGCCGCTGGATCCAGACAGCTGTTGGAGAGTTCAAGAAAAGACAGGCTGCCCCAGCCCGAGCCTTGGTCCTGTATTCGTGCTGTGCCATTGATACACTTTCCTGTCTTGATATGTTTCACAAAGAAACCAACAGAACCTGAAAAAACATAATAATGCAAACGTAGACGACAATAAAACCTTTCCATTCACGTTACGAATACAATTTAGACTTGGAAATCGGTTGCTTTGGAGCTCAGGACAAAATAGAGGAGTAGATTAACTTTCTTGAGAGCGAGGCTCGCAGAGGTTATTATGGCGTAATCATGACGTATTATCGTGTATTCCACTGGTGCACAAATTTATGCATGCTCTCTGTTGGTTAAAATTAAATTTATAAACAGAAATATAAGGCACCCAGAGAAATGATGTACACTATGTTGATAATCTCTTTCAGTGAAAGCCATATTCGGCAAGCAAGGTATTTCAAATCTGTAGTAAAAAAACCTGGTCATGGTGTATATTGTAGTAGCTATATTAAAATTTTGCATTTAAATGCACATGCACAGGAATATGCATTTAAAAAAACTGTGTTTTAAAAATATTGTAAAATACGTAATCTTAATTGGCGCATTTTTAAAAAGTATAAAATATTAAGGTTGCCGTTGTTAAATTAATCACAGTTTATTTACCATATAGGAAATTGCAACGAGAAAATTGCATTCCATTTACTTGATATATACGCAAACATTCATCACAAACCGTTACCTTTTACTCAAACTTAACTATAAGTGCACTTGAGTTGCGTACTATACGTTTTAGTTTAGATTGCTTTACTTAATTTAGATTGCAATTTAAACACATGCAGCGTATGACAGAATGGTTTTGTGTAAGTAAATGTAAGATAGCGAAGATATACAAGGAGCCCAACCATAACACGTCAATCCGTATCAGGCTGATATATTAGCACTTGAAGTATTTCAGTCTTGTTTCAAAAACATACTGTAGTTGTTCACTACACGCCTAAAAACGCTCAGGTTGATGCAAGTTGATACAAACAGGATGGAGCAATGTTGTGCTGCCCACATTGTTCAGAGTTGTTATCAACATTGAACAATATTGTTGAAACTGAATCGGGTGTAACAATATTGTTCAATATTGATAACAACTCTGAACAATGTGGGCAGCACAACATTGCTCCATCCTGTTTATATCAACTTGCATCAACCTGAGCGTTTTTACGCGTGTAGTGAAGTAGATACGTTGTTTCCTTGTTGCATGATATAATAATACATGGCTGACTGCATGCATACTTCATCAAGTGATAACGACGCTAATTACATAGATCAACGTACATTAGTACTTCAAACTTACCCTGAAGAAAAAGGAGAATGAAAATAAAAACTGCTAAATTCTGTTGAAGACGCTTGAAATACATCTTTTCAATCCAGCAGATCTAAAACGACTCTGTGAAATGCAAAGGCGGAAGATGAAACTGAATCATTGTAGCGAAGATAAATATTTAGAGAAACTCAGTGTGAAGTCTGAATGTTTACTGTTTAATAACGTACTAAAAATCTAACAATCATACTCGCAGAAAAAATAAGTAAATTTGCTTTCTCCTTTCTCGCCAAATTAGCCTTTATCGTCGTTCGTACATGTGTTCACTCTGGTAAAGAAAATGGCTGGCCCATGCAAACCCAAATATGAATGCAACGTATTTGTTTAAGAGATTATATTATGCAAAAGACTTTACTGTAAACGCGTGTTTTTTACTTTACACGGCCGGTGCGTGAATACATGTAATTACAATGAAATATTTGGCAGTAAATATAAAGGTAAAGATATATTGATACGTAACAAACACCTAAATTCCATTTTGATAGCGGTAACAATTATTACGAATAAGTCAGTGCAGTTTTTGAAGGAAACTGTGTGAAGAATTATCAACCCTCGTTTGGTAGAGATGAGTCTGACAGATCCACGTCATCCACTACAAAAAAAAACAATAGTAAATGGGCACATAATTTAAAAAGAATCCTTCTCGGGTATTTCTTAGCTACCAATATATAAACTTCTTATTTTCTTGAGCGTAAATAAGTACCAACTTAATGAATTTGCTATTCCGCAACTATCACGTTATATCCAAGACAAAAGCTACATATTATCTTCATATTCCCGATGGTTGAGGACCTATGGTGAATTCATTTGGGCCAATAACAAATAGCCTTAGTTAATATCTTTCGTATAAATCAGAAACAATTATATCACTTAATCGCATGCACTGATATTTAATTTAAATAGCTGGAAAATATCCCACGCAGACGCAGGTTTCTACTAGTGAGCTTTTGGCGTTTTGAAGTTTTTGGGTTTTGGGAGTTTAAAGCTTGAGGGTTGCCCTAGTCAGTATTATTTTGCGCTATTGCACTTCGCACGAGAAACATGCATTAAATACTCAGCACTCCAATGCAACTTCAATTCAAAACAAACATACCACATAATGAGTATTGTTTTGATGTATCAAAACATTGATATTCAAAGTAAAGATATTTTTTCAATCCAGGACACAGGTCATCAGAGAACAAGGTTTCATCCACAGTTATTTTACACTCATGTTGACCATCACATTGTTTCTTAACAAGACATGTTACATCAACTGTACAACTATAATCATCACTCAAACCACATGTCTTTGAGTCAGACAATCCACGGTAAGATGCAGTCTTGACCACCATGAACTGATCTTTAGGACAAGTGACATTCTCTGTCGTTTTTCCATAACATGCCACTGAACCTTGATAAGGATAGGACAAAATATAGACCTCGATCGAAACTTAAAAAGTTGAAGTGAGTTTGTCTACTTGGTTTGAGAATATAGAATTACTTTTTGAGCACTTCTTCTCTTTCCTGTTGAATACATTTCTCAGACAACCCCTATATCAGGCAGAAAGATCGTACCAGCAGAAAAGAAACTTACCAAAAATAAAACGTTTATTCTCCCCGTCTTCACAGCTTGTGGTCGTTTTTATGTATCCATCAGGGTCTGCACACCTGCCTGCAGAACGATAAGGTCCCGATAAACCTCCCCAAGAGGTTTGTTTTATAACCCGGCGGTCAGCACAGGCAGATTTTTCTTTAACTTCTGGGGTAGCAGGAACGTAGACCCAAAACATTTCAGGAAACCTGTGCTTTCTATAGATAGCAAGGCATCCTTGTCTTTTCAAATTCAACATGGCGCCATTATCACGAAACCGAAACTGAGCAGCTGGATCCAGACAGTTGTTGGAGAGTTCAAGAAAAGACAGGCTGCCCCAGTACGAGCCTTGTGACTGTATTCGTGCTGTGTCATAGATACACTTTCCTGTTTTCACATGTTTTACAAAGAAACCAGCAACACCTGAAATATCATAGGACAAAATAGAGGAGAAGAGTAGCCTTCAGAGAGAGCAGTTTGAATTACTTGATGCGCAAACACTCATCACAAACCTTTACCTTTTACTAAACATTAACTAGGCGCACATGAGATGCGTACTATACGTTTTAGTTTAGATTGCTTTACTTAATTTAGATTGCAATTTAAACACAACGTATGACGGAATGGTTTTGTGTAAGCAAATGTAAGAGAGCGAAGATATATACAAGGAGCCCAACCATAGCACGTCAATCCGCGTCAGGCTGGAATCATTAACACAATATATTAGCACTTGAAGTATCTCAGACTTGTTTCAAAAACATACTGTAGTTGTTCACTAGTGAAGTAGATACGCTGCTTCCTTGTTGCATGATAACGTTTTTTCCTTCATCAAGTGATAACAAGGCTAATTACATCGATCAATGCACATTAGTACTGCAAACTTACCCTGAAGAAAAAGGAGAATGAAAATAAAAACTGCTAAATTCTGTTGAAGACGCTTGAAATACATCTTTTCAATCCAGCAGATCTGAAACGACTCTGTGAAATGCTAAGGCGGAAGATGAAACTGAATCATTGCAGCGAAGATAAATATTTAGAGAAACTCAGTGGGAAGTCGGAATGTTTATTGTTTAATAACGTAATAAATTTATATCTAACAATCTTGAACAATGAGATATGTTTCAAACAGGATTCTGACAAAATTCTTGATAGAACAGTCAGTGTTGAAATCTGTTTGAAAGGGAAATTACGTGCAGGTTTTTTCGATAGACTGTGTCAGTTGTGCTCTGAAATCGATCATGAATATAGCAAATGTATTTCCCTACAGGCATGTCCTTTACAATGAATCCATCCAGTCGCGATTGCGTCTGATTTTTTTCCCAGACGAACGTGATTGGTGGTTCACCTTCAGCAAAACATAGCAGGTCTGACAAGATTACCTTCCTTTGCCATTCCACCACCACTGCATGGATAACACACGAGGGACCCCAATTAGCATAGCTCTCTGCAAAAAAATTACTCAAAATACGAGTAATTTCTATTAAAAGAATGAGTTGAATTGAGTTACTCAAACAAATTGCTTCGACGGAAACTCAACAATTACTCACCCACTGTGGACGACGGCCATTAATTCCTTATTATGAGTAACACAACAATGAAATAAATAAGTTTGACTTTATAGAGAATATATATAAGGAATTAAACTATGTGCCCTTACAAAAATCCACATGATTTCACTTATGTGAAATTGCACGTGTGAATTCGAACATTGTGAATTCTCAGTTGTGAATTAATTCTTCAAATATTCTCTCCAATATGTATTAAGCAATACACTGAGTTAGTAATTCCAACTCCGTAGTTGAGTAAATAGAATATTTTAATTTACTCATTGATGAGTAAAGAGTTGTCTTTTCTTTGAGTTGTCTTTACTCAAGAGATTTTGATAAAATACGAGTTTTGATCTACTCAAAATAAAGAGTGAAATTATCCCAACGAGAAAAGGGGCAAAACGAACTCAATTTTTTGAGTAGTTAGTTCAGATAAATAAAATACGAGTAAAATTTACTCAAACATAAAAAATGCTCTTTTTTCTTCTTGCAAAAACACCCCTGAGTTTTCCCCAAAGCTTTATTACTATACCGGCAATATCTGTGTTTGTGGTAAGGGTCGGTCTTGGCGCTGGTGTTTCTGTTGTCGATGGAGGACTCCAATCAGTGGAGTAAAATTCACCCTTTAATGAAATATTTAGGACAGACAGTGGACAAAAAAAGGTTTACGTATTAACAGGATATCATATATCAAAAGTATTTTGGGGGAGATTGTTAGTGAAAATACAAAAGGGTCACTTGGTGTTGTTGTCTTTCCTAATGTATCATCTACTACTCAGCAATACCTTGTCATCAAGAAAGATCCTTTGAAAAATACTGTAACTTGCTCCAGACTCCAGTGGTCCATTGTAATAATCATTCGTTGTTGATCTTCGTCTTCGTGTTGTTGAAGAACTTGTATTTCCACCATCACCAAGTATAAACATGTTTTTATCTCTGCTTGTTATGACGGCGGCAATATAAGGTTTTGGTTCAGCTGACGTTTTAGCTTTTTCGTATGTCACTAGATCATTGTAACTGCTGGATGGTCGAAGACTGTGGCTGCTTTTTCTCAATTTAAGAGCCACGACGTAAAAATACCTAAAACATATTCCGTTTGTTCAGTAAGAGATAAAGTCTGCAGTTGGTCGTCCAAATAATTTCTTCCTAATAATTATCTGAAATATTGCTTTAGGAACGCCGGTTTCGAACTTACGTAAAATTTTCCGAAGGGATTTGTAACGAGAAAGTTAATGTAGTTTCTGTTCTCTTTGTTGCCATCTTTGTTCCTTCTGTATAATAGATAACATCAATGATATGAACTTGAATGTCGGTATTTAAGTTGTGATGTTAGCTTTCTCTTAAGGTGATGAGATCTAACAACGAAACTATGAAATATAGGCCCTACCTCCATTTGTAAACATTCCCTGACTTTTACTGTAGTTTCCTGGACCAACTTTAGTACTTGCAAGAACACGAACAAAATATTTAGTTGAGGCATTCAAATTGTCGATGACCAACATCATCTTCTCTGTAGTATGTTCTTTAAAGCAAGGTTTAGTTTCTTCATGTGAGATACACACAGTATAATTGACGATCACGCCATTTCTTTTCTCTTCTTCAGGAGGATCCCACGTGACTGATAATGAGGATGAATTTTCCGCAGTGACTTTGACGTTCAGTGGAGGACCTTCTGGAGCTGGAAATTTAATAGTAAGTTGTTTCTTTGGGTTCGCTTTAGTATTTTGGTACCATGGTCGTATTTGCCATTTTCCGGCAAATATGACCATGGTCGTATTTGCCATTTTCCGGCGAATATGACCTGGTCGTATTTGCCATTTTCCGGCGAATATGACCATGGTCGTATTTGCCGTTTTCCGGCGAATATGACCATGGTCGTATTTGCCATTTTCCGACGAATATGACCATGGTCGTATTTGCCATTTCCGGCGAATATGACCATGGTCGTATTTGCCATTCCGGCGAATATGACCATGGTCGTATTTGCCATTTTCTGGCGAATATGACCATGGTCGTATTTGCCATTTTCCGGCGAATATGACCATGGTCGTTTGCCATTTCCGCGCGATATGACCATGATCGTATTGCCATTTTCCGGCGAATTGACCATGGTCGTATATGCCTTTCCGGCGTGACCTGGTCGTATATGCCATTTCCGGCGAATATGACCATGGTCGTATATGCCATTTTCCGGCGAATATGACCATAGTCGCATTTGCCATTTTCCGGCGAATATGACCATGGTCGTATTTGCCATTTTCCGGCGAATATGACCATGGTCGTATTTGCCATTTTCCGGCGAATATGACCATGGTCGTATTTGCCATTTTCCGGCGAATATGACCATGGTCGTATTTGCCATTTTCCGGCGAGTATGACCATGGTCGTATTTGCCATTTTCCGGCGAGTATGACCATGGTCGTATATGCCATTTTCCGGCGAATATGATATCGTCACTAATACATACCACAAACAACGCTATAAGATTTCACAGTATCAATACATTGATATTCAAAGTAAAGATATTTTCTCAATCCAGGACACAGATCATCAGAGAACAAGGTTTTATCCACAGTTATTTTACACTCATGTTGACCATCACATTGTTTCTTAACAAGACATGTTACATCAACTGTACAACTATAATCATCACTCAAACCACATGTCTTTGAGTCAGACAATCCACGGTAAGATGCAGTCTTGACCACCATGAACTGATCTTTAGGACATTTGATATTGCCTACCATCTTCCCATAACATATCACTGAGCCTAAACAGATAAACTATTTTGTCTCGCTTTTATTCGAAAGGTTTGAAAATAAATTAAAAGTTTCAAGCTCATCATTTCCGTCATATTATTTTGTATTCACTAATTTTTGGTGCGTTTATTTTTCACGACGGTTAATGACAATCCATTGGCTTCGTATGGGATTGAAACATCTCTAGGATTTCCAGAAGGATGATTTCGCCAAAACTTACCAAAAATGAAACGTTTATCCTCAGTGTCATTACAATCTGTTGTCAATCCAATGTAGGGATCAATTCCTTCTTTTTGAGCGAGCGGGGCGTGTGTTTTAGGGACTGCACACCACTTCTGAAATGTTGTTTTCGTATAACCTTTGTAATATACAGATAAACCTCCCCAAGATGTCTGGGTTATACGACGATAGATTTTCTTTACAGGATCTTGCGCACAGGCAGAATAATCTAGTGCCAGTGATGTAGCGGGAACGTAAAGATATAAAACATCAAAATTTGGACCAAAATCAAGTTTAAAATAAGCAGCGAGACATCCTTTTCTCTTAATGTTGAACAAGGCGCCATTATCACGAAACCGAAACTGAGCAGCTTCATCGAAACACGAGTTGTTAGAAAGTTCCAAAAAAGACAAGCTACCCCAAAGTGGGCTTGAATTTTTCTCAAATCCTGTGTCGATAACACACATCCCTGTCTTAACATGTTTCACAAAAAAGCCAGCGGCTCCTATGACAAAAGAAATTTTCGACTAAAAAAATCGTCGGTACGGCTTCCACCATTAAATGGAGGAAAACGCTTTATGAATTATGATGCAGTATATAGCATATGTAACCATGACACTGATGTATGATGTCGTATTATCATTTGCATTCAAGTATGAAACCTGACTATTCCACGCAAATGGTAATATTAAGTCACAACACAGTGTTTTTTCCAACTTATTATTTTTTATTCACATCAACTTACTCTGACCACAGATCTCAATTTTCATACAAGGTTGAACTTCATACGATAATGGAATAAACCGTAAAGCTCTTGTTGTTAAGCCATTTAAATTTCTTATGGCTGCGTCATTGAAAGCATTCTGGTTTCCTCGAAATATCTAAAAACAGTATATATAAAGTGCAATTAATTGGCAGGAAATCTATAAGTTGACGTTGCGGCTTAATATGGTGATTTATAGCGACCACCTTTTGGAATACAGCGGGTGATTGTTTCCAGTTTATCAAGTCTGTCGTATAATTCAAGATATACGTCTTCACCCATTTGGCACTTGTACCGTCTCCAAATGTTGCGACATAATTTATCGAATAAAGTCTTTTAAAATCCACTTGAAGATAATGTTTATCATCTGAGACAGGAGCACACCAAGAACTACCACTAGATATCCTTGCATCAGAAGCTCTGTGACCTTCTGAAGAAACTGAGGCAGTGAATGACGAATCTGGAATTCTTTCTTTGTCTTCTAACAAAGGACTGTCGCAAATATGACCTGAAATATGGAAACTGAATTGATTATATAATTATTAGCTTTAACCTTCTACGTCATATTTTCATTTCCACTTCTTGAACTGTTTTCTGATAATTTTTATCTCATAGATTCTCGTAATTCCTGAATAATATTGAAACTTACATTTTATGTATGACAACTGGGAACAACTTGAGGTGGAAATTGTGAGCGAACAGAAGGATAAGTCGTTGTCATCATGATTGCAGTTTATGGTTCCAGAAAATATTTCAATTTTTGAATCGGGTAGAACCGGAGTATTAACAACAGATTCTGCTCTTTTGTAACCCATATGAGCGCAAACAACATTTTTGGCTTTATCATTTAAACTTCCTGCACAAACACTCTTTGTCCAATTATTCGCGGTAATTTGCACAATACCTTCGTTTGGCAAAGACGAATTAGATAAAGATAAAGATACGCCACGAACTACAAGACAAAAAACCTTGAAGTAAATGGGAAAACATGATCAAATATTTTGTGGCTTGATTTCGTATGAAATTTTGCTGCGCCTAAACATATTTATAGTCGGTACACATGTACATACCGCAAACATCGTTATAATTTTTCACATCATTAAAACATCGGTATTCAAAGTAAAGATATTTTTTCAATCCAGGACACAGATCATCAGAGAACAAGGTTTTATCCACAGTTATTTTACACTCATGTTGACCATCACATTGTTTCTTAACAAGACATGTTACATCAACTGTACAACTATAATCATCACTCAAACCACATGTCTTTGAGTCAGACAATCCACGGTAAGATGCAGTCTTGACCACCATGAACTGATCTTTAGGACAAGTGACATTCTCTGTCGTTTTTCCATAACATGTCACTGAACCTTAAAAAAACGAAATAATATTTCAAGTAGTAAAAACGTATCTGATTTCACAGTTTAAAAAAGTGCATCGCACTTTTATTACAATGAAATTGTACGCAGTAACATGGTTTCCTAGGACCTTAAGACAAAATATTTTGCATCGGTATATGTAAGTACTTACTACTTGGAAATTTGACAGACATGTAACAGAAACTTACCAAAGTTGAAACGTCTATCCTCAGCGTAGTTGCAATTATATTCCAATCCAATGAATGAGTCTATTCTGTAACTTTGAACGAGCGGGGTGAGTGTTCTAGGAACTGCACACCAGTTCTGAAATACGCTAGTGACAAACCGCCCTTTATAATATACAGATAAACCTCCCCAGGAGGTCTGGGTTATACGACGATAGATTTTCCTTCCGGGATCTTGCGCACAGGAAGAATTATCTAAACTTACGGAGGCAGCAGGGACGAAAAGATAAAACATATGAAGATAGTGACCAGAAAAAGAGTTGACAAAAGCCGCAAGACATCCTCGTCTTTTCAAATTCAACATGGCGCCATTATCACGAAACCGAAACTGAGCAGCTGGATCCAGACAGTTGTTGGAGAGTTCAAGAAAAGATAAGTTGCCCGCGCCCGAGCCTTGTGACTGTATTTGTGCTGTGTCATAGATACACATTCCTGTCTTGACATGTTTCACAAAGAAACCAGCAACACCTGAAAAATCATAAAAATGCAAAAGTCGACGACAATGAACCCTTTGAATAATCTCATAACGAATACATCTTGGGCCAGGAAATCAGTTCCTCCCGGTACCAAAAATAGGAGGATTCTCTGTCAGTGAAAGCCATATTGAAAATATTGTGGTTTGAAAATAATGTAAAATACGTAATTCTTGGCGCATTCTGAAAAGTACAATAATATACAATAATAATATCATCACAACATATTCATTGCATTCAATCTACTTGACGCACAAAACATTTATCACAAACAAAATGTTTTTAACATAATGACGTTATCATAAGCGTTAATGTAAGGCTCATCAAGACTCATCAACCTTGGACTAACGCTATTTCCGATCTGCGTCAACGAGCAGTAAAACGCAAGCAAGACTTGCAACTCACATCAACTCGCATTCTGGTTCAACCAGGACTTAACATGTTTAAATCGACACAGCGCATAATGATTAGACAGAATTTCGATTTTGAATGCATGATATTTTTTAATAGCTAGCCTACTTACTGTGAAGATACAAGAGACTGACAATAAACGCTGATAATTTCCACACGTAGCACTTGAAAAACATATTTTCTTTTTAAAAAGTCGATTTATCGATAAAGATATCCGCAGTAAAGATGTAAGCTTAAACGAAGCCGGAAGACGAACTAAATCGTTGATGTTGCGATAAGATAAATATTCATAAAACTCAGTGTGAAGTCTGAATGTTGCTTTCACGATCCCAAACAACAAGACGTCTGACATTCTTTTAGCAAATTGTGTTTTGTTCTTGTTAAACTACTGTAAATAACGACATCAATCAAAATCTGTCATCTTTCTCAAAAGCTATGTATAAATGACATGGTCGTGCATGTTATATTAAGAGAAATGATCCTCTCTAGACCAAATTTGTTGTCGATGGGTTAATTATTAAAATTAAGTAAAACGTTCAGGTCGAAATATTAACTTAAACCAACAGGTGGTCTTAACTAGATTATAGATAACACCTGGACGTTTTTATTTCATTATGGAAATGTTAATCTTAAGTTTATTGTAAATGTTCCGTGCAAAAGCCTCTTTATAATCCAGTTTCCTTCTGGTTTTCGTATTCTTGAGGTCTTTGATTCAGATGACTATAAACATGATCATCTTCGTCCTTTCCCGGTCTTTTAAGAGCTGTATACGTCGACTGTTCATTTTCCACTTGTTCATAATTGTTGACGTCATCTTTGTTAGGATTTTCATAAATATCTTTGGAACTGTCTTTGGTCTTCCTCTCCAAATTTCCCGTAGTGCTTGACGATTTGAGACGATGAACTCGGTGAAACAATAAATAAGCAATAATAATGAGTAAAATGACCAGAAGAATTATTAATACTATAATTCCCACAAGATGATTTCCGCAACCTTCGCACTCTTCTTGAGCTAATGAAAGGAAGAGCAAAAATTAGAAAGATGCAACCCAGAATACAAGAGATTTACACTCCGTTTAGTATTCATTTCAAGACCCTGAAATCCACTGTTGTAGAACTGTAACCGATGCAATAAGCTCTGGAAATTACACAAGTTATTTTCTCTCCCTAATTTAGTTTGTAAATTACCTGTAAGTTTCACAACTGAAATATTATGAGCAGTTTTTGTAAATCGATCTTGAATATTGCAAATATATTTTCCAAAACTTGTTTCGTCTTTCATTGTTACGACGAGTAAGGAACTACGATGAGGCATGTCCTTTACAATGAATCCATCCAGTGACGTCTGATCTTTTTCCCAACTGAAAGTGATCGGTGGTTCCCCTTGAGCAGAACACAACAGGTTGACAAGATCACCTTCCTTTGCCATTACGTCAACACTGGACATGTTGGTTAACACACCAGGGGCACCACCTGAGGAACAAAAATACACCTTCGTTACAATATAACCCAAGGGCTGCGTGGCACGGTCTTCGAATAACTTCGCTCATAGAATATGGTATAACAACAGCTTAAAATAAACCGAGATCTTTCTTCTCTTTAAATGTAAACTTACCATTTTTTATTCTGCTCAAAAAATAATGTGTGATTATTTATATGCAATACCTGTGTTTGTGGTAAGGGTCGGTCTTGGCGCTTGTGTTACCGTTGTCGATGCGGGACTCCAATCAGTGGAGTAAAATTCACCCTTAGAGTGAATAAAAATAGGTTTTCGTGTTAACAGGTTATAGGATATTTTGGAGAAAGAGACGATTATTAGTGAAAATGCAGAAAGTTCACTTGTTTTATTGAATATATTTGTCTTTCCTAATCACTTCGAATGTAATATCATAACTAGCAATACCTTGTCATCAAGAAAGATCCTTTGAAAAATACTGTAACTTGCTCCAGACTCCAGCGGTCCATTATAATAATAATTTGTTGTTGATCTTCGTCTTCGTGTTGTTTGAGAACTTGTATTTCCACCATCACCAAGTATAAACATGTTTTTATCTCTGCTTGTTATGACGGCGGCAATATAAGGTTTTGGTTGAGCTGACGTTTCAGCTTCTTTGTATGTCACTAGATCATTGTAACTGCTGGATGGTCGAAGACAGTCGCTGCTTTTTCTCAATTCCAAAGCTACCAGGTAAAAATACCTAAAACATATTCCGTTTGTTCAGTAAAAGATAAAGTCTCAAGCTGGTCATCGAAATAATTTCTTCCATGCAATTATCTGAAATATTGCTTTAGGAACGCCGGTTTTGAACTTACGTAAAATTTTCTGAAGGAATTTGTAACGAGAAAGTTAATGTAGTTTCTGTTCTCTTTGTTGCCACCTTTGTTCCTTCTGTAAAATAAATAACATCAATGATATGAACTTGAATGTCGGTATTTAAGTTGTGATGTTAGCTTTCTCTTAAGCGGATGAGATCTAACAACGAAACTATGAAATATAGGCCTTACCTCCATTTGTAAACATTCCCTGACTTTTACTGTAGTTTCCTCGACCAACTCTAGTACTTGCAAGAACACGAACAAAATATTTGGTTGATGCATTCAAACTGTCGATGACTAACATCATCTTCTCTGTAGTAGGTTCTTTAAAGCAAGGTTTAGTTTCTTTATGTGAGATACACACAGTATAATTGACGATCACGCCATTTCTTTTCTCTTCTTCAGGAGGATCCCACGTGACTGATAATGAGGATGAACTTTCTGCAGTGACTTTGACGTTCAGTGGAGGACCTTCTGGAGCTGGAAATTTAATAGTAAGTTGTTTCTTTGGGTTCGTTTTAAAAAGTGTTTGTATATATGTAACAGATGGGGATATAATACGGCTGTGACAATATGCCATATCAAAAAGGCATTGAATGTTGTTGTAAACTGGGTGATATGGTCACCAGCCTCCTTTACACATGAAACAAATGTTGCGCGGGCACCGCGTTAAGGAATTACCCATTCACTTCTTACCCTGCTCTCCTGTCGAAAACACAATAGTATTCTCTTCACTAAAACCATCCTTGTTTCCAGCAGCTAGAGATATTTCATAACTTGTGTATGTAGTGAGCTTGTCTATTTTATATTCATTTATTTTTCCCGTGGTGATATTCAGAATAAGCGAGTCGTCTTTCTTCATTTTAATCCAAAATCTTGATACGCTGGTAAATCCTTGATTCTCAGGATCAATCCACGATATTTCAACACTCCGGGCCGTTATATTAGAGACGGTGATGTTTCTAGGTTGGTCTGGGTATAAAGCTGGCATAAAAGAAAGCAAACATTGAAAAATATTTATCTATAATAATCGTAGAGTCCATTCCCCAGTTTTGGCAAAGTAATCGATTAATCGCGAAGTTTGTCGGTAATGACACATGAGCGTCGGTAAACCCACTGCGGTAAGCCGCTCTGTTGGCAAATCTTATGTGAACTGACCGAATGCCCTATGCTTTCTCTGAATAACTTCAAGTACCGCGTGTTCGTCGGTTGAACGTCGGAATTACAACCCTCAACCCCCAGTAAAGATAGTCACGTGAGCCACATAACCTCTGCCAATAACCTTCTAATTAAAATCTTTCCGGGCTTCGATAGAAATAAACGTAACTTACTGTCACCACAGATCTCAACTCTCATACAAGGTTGAACTTCATGCGATAATGGGATAAACCGTAAAGCTTTTGTTGTTATGTCATTTAAACTTCTTTTTGCTGCATCATTGAAAGCATTCTTGTTGCCCTGAAATATCTTCGAAAGTGTTATACACTTAATGTATGATCCCAAAGGAAATAGTGAATTTTTGGAAAACAAGGGTGTCACGTATCAATTACCTTGTGATTTTCAGTCTGAACTTGTTTCCAATTCGTTGAATCAACAGTGTAATTTAAGTTGTAAGTCTTCACCCATTTGGCACTGGTACTGTCACCAAACGTTGTCACATTATATAACACATAAAGTCTTCCTAAGTTTACTTGAAGATAATGTTTTCATCTGACAGAGCACACCAAGAACTACCACTAGATATCCTTGCATCAGAAGCTCTGTGACCTTCTGAAGAAACTGAGGCAGTGAATGACGAATCTGGAAATCTTTTTTTGTCTTCTAACAGAGGGTTGTCGCAAATATGACCTGAAATACGAAGATAATTTGTGATTGTCTTTCATTTTCTCGCTTCAAAACTTACATTTTATGAATAACAACTCAAGGTGGGAGTTGTGATCGAACATTGAGGTAAATCCCCGAGGACATTAGTACAGTTTATACTTCCAGAGAATATTTCATCTTTGGTAGTTGATAGGAGGGGTGTATTAACAACAGAGTCTAATGCAAACAACATGCTTGTTTCATTATTTAAACTTCCAGCACAAACACGCTCCGCTTTGTCTCCCCTTGGTCAATTGCTAAAATTTATGGTCGTATTTCTCTAGAAATTTTACCACGGGTCACTCAGACCTTCTACACCTTTAGTATTTTAGTATCGTCACTAATACATACCACAAACAACGCTATAAGATTTCGCAGTATCAATACATTGATATTCAAAGTAAAGATATTTGTTCCATCCATGACAAAAATCATCAGAAAACAACGTTTCATTCACAGTTATTTTACACTCATGTTGACCATCACATTGTTTCTTTACAAGACATGTTACATCAACTGTACAACTATAATCATCACTCAAACCACATGTCTTTGAGTCAGACAATCCACGGTAAGATGCAGTCTTGACCACCATGAACTGATCTTTAGGACAGTTGATATTGCCTACCATCTTCCCATAACACGTCACTGAGCCTAAACAGATAAACTTTTTTGTCTCGCTTTTATTCGAAAGGTTTGAAAATAAATTAAAAGTTTCAAGCTCATCATTTCCGTCATATTATTTTGTATTCACTAATTTTTGGTGCGTTTATTTTTCACGACGGTTAATGACAATCCATTGGCTTCGTATGGGATTGAAACATCTCTAGGATTTCCAGAAGGATGATTTCGCCAAAACTTACCAAAAATGAAACGTTTATCCTCAGTGTCATTACAATCTGTTGTCAATCCAATGTAGGGATCAATTCCTTCTTTTTGAGCGAGCGGGGCGTGTGTTTTAGGGACTGCACACCACTTCTGAAATGTTGTTTTCGTATAACCTTTATAATATACAGATAAACCTCCCCAAAATGTCTGGGTTATACGACGATAGATTTTCTTTCCAGGATCTTGCGCACAGGCAGAATAATCTAATGCCAGTGATGTAGCGGGGACGTAGAGATAAAAAACATCAAATTGGGAACCAAAATTATGTTTAAAATAAGCAGCGAGACATCCTTTTCTCTTAATGTTGAACAAGGCGCCATTATCACGAAACCGAAACTGAGCAGCTTCATCGAAACACGAGTTGTTAGAAAGTTCCAAAAAAGACAAGCTACCCCAAAATGGGCCTGAATGTTTCACAACTTCTGTGTCGATAACACACATCCCTGTCTTAACATGTTTCACAAAAAAGCCAGCGGCTCCTATGACAAAAGAATTTTTCGACTAAAAAAATCGTTGGTACGGCTTCCACCATTAAACGGAGGAAAACGCTCTATGATGCAGTACTATAGCATATGTAACCATGACATTGATGTATGATCTCGTATTATCATTTGCGTTCAAGTATGAAGCCTTAATTATTCCACGGGTTTGCTTACGTACGTTTCAAACAATAAATTTTGATCAATTTACCTTCAAAAAACGTTTAACCAAGAATAATATACAAAAAACGTGCTAAGGAAACATTAAGTCATGCTAAATCAAACCGTTTCAAGCTTAAAAGGTACACAATTTATGCTTGTTTTCTATCGGTATGGTACGTATATATCGTCGTACGTATACATATTAATTTTTCTTAACTGAAGCCATTACATAGTGCTATACTCGAGGAAAGTCAAACAAACCACTTTGTCCATTGTTCAAGCTTAAAATGGATAACGTCTTAGTTAAAGTGAACAAATAATCCAAAATTCGTCATGTTTTCTTTTCCCTGTGAGATAGTTCACACTTGAACGCAAATGATAATGACAAGCCACAACACAGTGTTTTTTTCCAACTTATTATTTTTTATTCACATCATGCAACTTACTCTGACCACAGATCTCAATTCTCATACAAGGTTGAACTTCATACGATAATGGAATAAACCGTAAAGCTCTTGTTGTTAAGCCATTTAAATTTCTTATGGCTGCGCCATTGAAAGCATTCTGGTTTCCTCGAAATATCTAAAAATAAGATATATAAAGTGCAATTAATTGGTAGGAAATCTATAAGTTGACGTTGCGGCTTAATATGCATGGTGATTTATAGCGACCACCTTTTGGAATACAGCGTTGGATTGTTTCCAGTTTATCAAGTCTGTCGTATAATTCAAGATATACGTCTTCACCCATTTGGCACTTGTACCATCGCCAAATGTTGCGACATAATTTATGGAATAAAGTCTTTTAAAATCCACTTGAAGATAATGTTTATCATCTGAGACAGGAGCACACCAAGAACTACCACTAGATATCCTTGCATCAGAAGCTCTGTGATCTTCTGAAGAAACTGAGGCAGTGAATGACGAATCTGGAAATCTTTCTTTGTCTTCTAACAAAGGACTGTCGCATATATGACCTGAAATATGGAAACTGAATTGATTATATAATTATTAGCTTTAACCTTCTACGTCATATTTTCATTTCTACTTCTTGAACTGTTTTCTGATAATTTTTATCTCATAGATTCTCGTAATTCCTGAATAATATTGAAACTTACATTTTATGTATGACAACTGGGAACAACTTGAGGTGGAATTTGTGAACGAACAGAAGGTTAAGTCGTTGTCATCATGATTGCAGTTTATGGTTCCAGAAAATATTTCATCTTTTGAATCGGGTAGAACCGACGTATTAACAACAGATTCTGCTCTTTTGTAACCCATGTGAGCGCAAACAACATTCTTGGCTTTATTATTTAAACTTCCTGCACAAACACTCTTTGTCCAATTATTCGCGGTAATTTGCACAATACCTTCGTTTGGCAAAGATGAGTTAGTTAAAGATAAAGATACGCCACGAACTACAAGACAAAAAAACCCTTGAAATGGGAAAACATGATCAAATAGTTTGTGGTCTTGATTTCGTATGAAATTCTGCTACGCCTAAATATATTTATAGTCGGTACACGTGTACATACCGCAAACATCGTTATAATTTTTCACATCATTAAAACATCGGTATTCAAAGTAAAGATATTTTTTCAATCCAGGACACAGATCATCAGAGAACAAGGTTTTATCCACAGTTATTTTACACTCATGTTGACCATCACATTGTTTCTTAACAAGACATGTTACATCAACTGTACAACTATAATCATCACTCAAACCACATGTCTTTGAGTCAGACAATCCACGGTAAGATGCAGTCTTAACCACCATGAACTGATCTTTAGAACAAGTGACATTCTCTGTCGTATTTCCATAACATGTCACTGAACCTGGAAAATAAAACGATATATTATTATAATATACCTATCTAATTTCACTGTTTAAAAAAGTGCAATTTTATTGCAATGAAATTGACGCAGTATATAAGATGGTTTCCTAGGACCTGAAGACAAAATATTTTGCATCGGTATATGTAAGTACTTACTACTTGGATATTTGAGAAACATGTAACAGAAACTTACCAAAGTTGAAACGTCTATCCTCAGCGTAATTGCAATTATATTCCAATCCAATGAAAGAGTCTATTCTGTAACTTTGAACGAGCGGGGTGAGTGTTCTAGGGACTGCACACCAGTTCTGAAATACGGCATGCCGCCCCTTATAATATACAGATAAACCTCCCCAGGAGGTCTGGGTTATACGCCGATAGATTTTCCTTCCGGGATCTTGCGCACAGGCAGAAACATCTAAACTTACAGAGGCAGCAGGGACGAAAAGATAAAACATATCAAGATAGTGACCAGAAAATGAGTTGACAAAAGCAGCAAGACATCCTTGTCTTTTCAAATTCAACATGGCGCCATTATCACGAAACCGAAACTGAGCAGCTGGATCCAGACAGTTGTTGGAGAGTTCAAGAAAAGATAAGTTGCCCGAGTTCGAGCCCAAGCCTTGTGACTGTATTTGTGCTGTGTCATAGATACACATTCCTGTCTTCACATGTTTCACAAAGAAACCAGCAACACCTGAAAAAT